TATTTGTTAAAATAATAATAAAAAAAAGAGAAAAAAAAAACAAAACAAACTTACTTAAAAGAACACACCCCACACAGTGCCATTTTATATAGAATATCAATCAAAACTAACTATTATTTCAGAATTAGTAGAAGAACAAAAACGTAAAAACAAAAACAAAAAACAAAACAGAAACAAAAAAAATCGACAGGTTGTAGCTCCTTCATCAAATATCTCGTAAGCAATATTCATAAAGTTATAATACTGAGATCATAAATTACATCACAAAAAAAAGAAAAAAATTACGCTGATACCTGGGTATTGAAGATTGAGAATACAGTAATCAGCAACCAACCAAAATTACTTGAAGCCAAAAAAAAACTCTATTGCTCCTTCAAATCAAGAATTACAACGATTTTTTTAGACTCTTTTTTGTTTCTCTCTTCCTATTCTATTACAATATTCTAAAATTTCTTGCATGCAGAATACAAGCTCTGTAAAAAACACATATATCTTTTCTCCGTCCTTTCTTCTCTTCTCAGCCTCTTTGGTATTTATAGAGGGGGATCACGAGAGATTTCTTCATATGAGGGTTTGCTCTGCTCTGCTTTATTCAAGTGTGCAGACCTTTTTCGACTTCACAGTGCGGCGCCTCTACCTTGTCCAGTAATGAAGTGCGGCGCCTTTCCTGAGACGGAGTAGCTGCGTGTGCGAACAGGGATGGAAGAAATTTTGGGTGATTGAATCTAGTGGTCTCTCTTTTCTTTTTCTTGTCGGCGTCGTTGCTGAAAAGATGAGTGTGGAGCGTATGTTGGCAAAGTGGCTAGGGTTGAGTGATGGGTAATGGGCTTGGCCCTTTTCTTTTTTCTTTCTTTTCTCTTTTTTTCTTATAATAATAATAATATATTTAAACATAAGGAGTTCACAATTTATTATTATTTTTTGTTCTTTTTCCTTTTATCCTTTTTTCTTTTTATAAAAGATAAAATAAAGAGTTCACACTTTATTATTTTATATATATTTTTATATTTTTAATATTTAAGATAAAATTGGGTGTTTACAGCCTAGGCCTATTAGCCTGTTTAAGTCCATTAAATATTCAACAATTAAAAGAATAACTAAAATAATATTATTTTATTATTCAATATTATTAAAATAATAATTATATTTATTATAATTTAAATAATATGATATGGGTCGGCTTGTAGACTTATAGGCCCGTCATGTACAAAAAAAGCTTATGGCCTATTTTTTAAATAGATTTTTTTTAAAAGCCTAAGCCTGTTCTATTTTACTATTTATAATAGGCCAAATCTGGCCTAATATAAGTTAGGCCGTAAGTCCCTGTAGGCCGACCTAGACCATTTTCCCCACTTGTGGTGTGCTAGGGTCCTAAAAATCAAAATATTAATTCAATATTACTATATTAAGAAGGTGGATAATACATAAATTCTTGCTAACTATGCCTAACAAATTTCGCAACAAACCACTTTGACACGAAGCTCCAATCATATAAAAAAAAAGGGTTATATTAGTATAATGTTACATGAAAATTAATGTTTGTTTTAGCACAAACATAAAGGAAGAAAGAGAAAGTGAGTTTAGGAAATAGAAAAAAAAAAATTGTGGGCCCCATGAGTTTTTGATTGGGTAGGAAAACAACTTTAAATCATGTTACATGATATATACATTTCCCATAAAAAAATTAATTCAAAGAGGTTAAACTCAATACTTTTATATTATATCCGTGTTACATAACTCTAATACAACTCAAACTTAGAACATCAAGGAAAGAAGAAGTGAGAGAATAGCATAGTGGGGACTGTAACAACATAACTGAATGTCACGTCATTTTTTCTTCTTATGACAGAGCAAACTCAACATACATAACTGAAAAGAAAAATATTAAAAGACATGCCATTTCAGAAGCCAACAAATTCTGACAATAATTAAAATTGACAACCTCACGTTCTCAGTTTCTTGTTACCTTTAAAGCAGCCAACAAATTGAACTAACAAAAAAAACAGAAGCCAAAAATAACAATTATTGCAGAATTATTTTATTCAAATTTGGCAGCAGCACACTACTTCATGAGAACTTTCTCCTTCATCAATAAAAGGCAACTCAGCAGTGAGCCAATTTAGCTACAAAGTCTTCAATATTTTTATCAGAACTTCCTCCCTCATCAATAGAATTCTTTGCCAGATTCTTCCATTTGATGGCATTGTTCTTTATTTCATTTCCTTTTTCAGTCTCCATCATTTCCTTTATGCAGTGTTTAATTGTTCCTCTTCTAACTATCTCTTTCTCATCAGCAACAGCTTTGATTCCCATTTTCCATGCATCTGCAATATGCTTTGCATTTGTGATTTGGTCAGTCCAAAGTGGCATTGCAATCATTGGAACACCTAAGCTCACAGCTTCCAATGTGGAGTTCCAACCACAATGTGTGAGAAAACACCCCACAGCCTCATGTGTTAAGACTTGTAGTTGGGGACACCATGTTACTATTAAACCCTTCTCTGATGTCTCCAGAAATTCCTTTGGAAGCTTATACTGTTCACAAGCTCTAACCACCCACATGAAATAACTCCCACTATCTCTCAAACCACAAGCTAGTTCTTCTGTTTGCTCCTCACTAAGACCTGCCATGCTCCCAAAAGAGACATACACAACTGAATCCTTGGGCTTTTCATCAAGCCATTTGATGCAAGCTTCTATATTTGGATCAAACATGCTAACACCATATTCATTGTCATCTTGGAGTCTTTTGTCCAAGAACATAGATGGTACAGATGGTCCTATTGGCTTTAATGGCCAAATCTTCCCCAACCAATCAACAACCTAAATGGAATTTCATTTCAGATTTCAATAATCAATAAAATCACTTCTCATTAAATCCCGACTTACGAGAATAGTGTTAAGGGAAATTCTTGTATGTATCTCTACCCTTGCATGTTTGCAAGGATGCTATTGAGTTTGAACATGAGACCTTTTAGTCACAACCAGGTTCATCCTCACGTTTCAATAATCAATAGCACAAAAAAGAATAAGTAACAATGCATTGCAGTGGATAAGAACAAATAAAATTAATCAATGGAAATTTCAGCTATTCAAGTGACTTACCTCTTTTTCCAGTTCATAAAATGTGTTTGCAAGAACCCAATCTGCTTTATCAATGTTGGAAAATTGATTCATAATTATGTCAAAGTAACCTGGGTAGGATCCATATTTATACAAGAATGATGGCAAGTCCCCAGATGCAAGTTTTGGCAATCCTGGTAGCAAAAACTCTGTCCTTGAAAGAGGTAACTCAACAAACTTTTTATAAGCATGGAAGTATATGTTGTTAACAGAACAAGTTTGAGTGAAGAAGGCAGCACCAAGGAGTCCAAATTTCTTAGCAACATCAAGAGACCAAGGCAAGAAAGCATCATAGATAACACAATCTGCAGGGTTGTTAGAACATGCAAGCTTTTGAAGAAGCTCGGATAGAGTTTGTGGTCCAACTCTCCAAAAGGTATCTTTGTAAACTTCAAGGCTCTCTGCTGCTTCAAGTCCTCCATCATCATAGCCATCTGAGATGCTTTCAACTTCAATGGATCTGAGATTTTTGTTGGTAATAGTCTTCCAATTGGAAATAACAGTTATCAGTGTCACCTTTACTCCTCTTTCAACCAAACGCTTGGAGAATTGAAGCATAGGATTTATGTGACCTTGGGCAGGATAAGGTAGGACCAAACAGTGAGCTACATAGTTTTTCTTTTCCTTCTCCATTTTTTCACCTTTCTGAGTGTTTTGTGTTCTCTTCTGTATCTGAATGCAATGAAGTTTGTTTGTTCCAATTACATATATATATATAAAGGGCAAAGTGTGTGTCATTTTAAAGGATGTAAAGTTGTGTCATTTTAAGAAAAAGAAAGAGATAGATAAAAAGAGAGAGAGAGTTGACAAAAAAAATAAAGGTGTGGGTCCCACCTCTTTGTGAGAGTGAAAGGATATAAGTTGTGTCATTTAAAAGGATAAACATTTTTTCCATATATAAAATTGGAAAAAACGATACAACTTTAATAAAGTAATAAATGTAACAGATCAAAATAAAAAAAAAGGGTAATAAATGTAACATAGTTAAATGAACTAAGGTTTTTTTAACAAATTTTTGTTAATGAGCATGTGTAGGACGGCAATAATTTGTTTTCTTTAACATTAATGTTGATAAGTGATGAGTTCGAGCATGTTTTCTATAGGGCGGCAACAAAATTCAACTCAATAGCAAGGGTATGTCATTAGGGCTATTGAGTTCGAACATGTGATCTTTTGGTAATGAGCATGTATAGGGCAGCAATATTGATAATAGCGACAAGTAGCGCATGCCATTTTTATTTTTATATTTTAGTACAAAGTAGCGTATGTCATTAGGTCTTCAACTTGTGTGCATGGTTGAAGCCATCCCTAGGTGAAGGCGTGCTTCCTACTTATGCGCGATGCAAGTCACACATGACATGGGGATGTAACTAGATAATTTAAATTATAAGTATTGGTCTGGTGTATATTAAAAGGTAAAAGGTAAGACTTAAGCAGCCTCTAATATTTACCGATAATTTAAAAAATTGATAAAATAATATATTTTATTAATTTAATTTATTTAATTTAATTTTAGTAAAAATAATAATACAATATAAACTAACCTATATAAAATTTGTTTATTAAAACTTATAAAAATAGGTCCATAATGATACACGTAGGGCGTCTAAGAGAGTGAGGCAACACTCTATAATACTCAAAGACTTTGTTGCTTGAGGAATAACGTTAGTTGGTTAACCGGTTGAGTTAGTTAATTAGTTTGGTTGGTTAACGGTTAGTGAGTTAGTTAATACTGTTGTATAAATACTTACATGAGGTACTGAGATCATTACTTGAAAATAATACAAATTCTCGATTTCTTTTAGTTCTTATTCTTTGGTTCTTGTCCTCTGTTAGGTTAATCCTAACAATTGGTGCTTTCATCCTTTGAATTCATGATGCGTCTGCAAGAGTTAACAGAGGAGTTTTCTACATTGCAAGGTCGTGTTGATCGCGACAGGGAGGAGAATGCTGCTTTTCAAGGTCGTGTGGAGCAACGTTTCGTTGAAATTCGATCTGAAAATCAGGTTCAGTTTGCGAATTTAGCAGCACAACTTCAACAATTGCATGAGGCGATTCTTGGACGGGAAGATCGATTTCGCAACCCTCCGCATGGTTCTCATATGGGAACCACATCTTCTTCTCCGTTCAACCGTACAGATTTGGATTCCAGGAACCTAACCAAGGCAATTCAGTTAGAGATTCCAATTTTCAGTGGCTTAGATCCAAATAATTGGATATTTCGTACGGAGTTATTCTTTGTTCTTCAACAGGTTCCAGAAGACTTCAAGGTACCCGTAGCTGGATTGCGAATGGAAGGAATGACTGCAGCTTGGTATCAATGGATGTATAGTAGTGGTTTAATCCGTTCGTGGGAGAATCTGACCAAGGCTCTTCGTGAGCGATTTGGAGCTTCGTCTTATACCAATTTGAAGGAAGTGTTATCCAAATTAACACAAATTTCTACCTTACGCGATTATATCCAGCAGTTTGAGGTATTGATCAACCAAGTACCTGGGTTGGATGATGATTTGTATATGAGTTTTTTCATATCTGGTTTGCAAAGTGAACTTAAGAGTGTAGTGCAACTTCGTTTACCTGTTAATTTGCATCAAGCAATGCAATATGTTCTCGCATACGATGATCACCACATGGAGCTTAGGAATTCTTTTTATTCCAGTAATAAGAGGTTTCCTTTGAAGATTTCAGCCTCAAATACTGATGGCACAGTGGCACCTTCTCACAACCAGATTACCACTGCCCTTACTCCTTCGGTACTTCAACTGGGCTCCTCCAATTCGAGGTTAGCATTACCTGCTCCACCAGCCATGAAAAAGTACTCACATGTTGATTTGCATAAGAAACGAGAATTGGGAATTTGTTATTACTGTGATGACAAATGGACACCAAAGCATAGGTGTAAGAACAAATTGATGCTAATGATTGGTGAATTCTCTGATTCACCTGAAGATGCTGACGCGGAAGAGGAGATACTTTGGCAAGCTGAAGCCTTACCAAAGGACACACAAGATGGTGCATCGCATACACTGGCTGATAGATCAGGTACAAACTCCTTGATGTTTTCCTCTGTCATCAAGCATTGTGTTGTATATATAATGGTGGATTCGGGCAGCACTCATAATTTCATAAGAAGACAGTTAGCTGGTGAGTTGGGTTTGCCTATTGTTCGTGCTAAGAAATTGCGTGTGTTCTTGGGCAATGTAGAGTGTTTGGTGACTGAAAGGAAGTGTCTCAGTGTTCCAATTGATTTGCAAGGACACCAGTTTCTGATTGACTTTTGGGTGCTGGACTTAGTGGATCTTAGTGTTATTCTTGGAATGCCATGGTTGCAACAGTTAGGCAGGGTCACTCACGATTATATGGACCTGTCCATGGAATTCCAGTGGCAAGGACAGCAGTTGATATTGAAGGGGAATATGGATTCTAAGGATCCTGGAGTGGAATTGAATCTGTGCAAAGACAGCATCTCTCATTGTTGTGCACTAAGCTTGGGATCAACAGGTGCAATACCTATTGAATCTGAATTGCTCAGTCTCAAGGCTAAGGTTCCAGTAGCACTTTGGCATGTTTTAGTGCAATATTAATCCATTTTTCAAGTACCTCATGAGCTTCCTCCATTTCGAGGCTTGGATCATGCTCTCCATTTGAAGGACAACTCAGAACAGGTGAATGTGAAGCCCTTCAGATATGCTCACCACCAGAAATCTGAGATCAAAAAACAGGTGATAGATTTGCTTTCAGCTGGGTTCATACAACACTCTCAAAGCTCTTTTTCTTCACCAGTACTTTTAGTGCGCAAACAAGACAATACTTGGCGCATGTGTATTGATTATAGAGCATTGAATGCTATCACCATCAAGGATAGGTTTCCCATACCTACTATTGATGAGTTATTGGATGAATTGGGTGGAGCTGAGGTCTTTAGTAAACTGGATTTGAGAGCAGGATATCACCAAATCCGAGTTTTGCCACAAGACATTCCAAAGACTGCATTTAGGACTCATGAAGGACACTATGAGTTCCTAGTCATGCCCTTTGGTTTGACAAACGCTCCCGCAACCTTTCAAGCTGTGATGAATCACTTGTTTAAACCTCACTTTCGCAAATTCATCATAGTTTTCTTTAATGACATCCTAGTATTCAGTAAGACAATGGAAGACCATAATCGGCATTTGAAAATTGCCTTGGAGTGTTTGCAGATGCATAGATTTTTTGTCAAGGCTTCGAAATGTTCTTTTGGAGTCACTTCTATTGAATATTAGGGTCATGTAGTTTCTGGTCAAGGGGTTCATGCAGATGTTAGGAAGGTCCAAGCTATGGTTGATTGGCCTATACCTCGAAATGTGAAACACCTTAGGGGATTTCTTGGTTTAACGGGCTACTATAGGCGATTTGTTAAGAGTTATGCTATGATAGCAAGTCCTTTAACAGAATTGTTGAAGACTTCTGTCGAATTTTGCTGGACTGATGCTGCTACACAAGCTTTCCAACATCTCAAGGATGCTATGATCCAAATTCCAGTCCTCCATTTACCAGATTTTTCCTTGCCTTTTGTTATTGAGACAGATGCTTCCAATACTGGAGTTGGAGCAGTGTTGTTACAAAATGAAAAACCTTTGGCTTATTTCAGCAAAAAGCTATCTTCAAGAATGGCAGCAGCCTCCACTTATGTGCGTGAGTTGTATGCAATCACAGCTGTTGTAAAGAAATGGAGGCAATACTTGCTTGGCTCAATTTTTGTCATACGGACAGATCACAAAAGCCTCAAGGAGTTGCTCAATCAGACTATCCAGACTACTGAACAACAAAAATACTTGTGTAAGTTGCTTGGCTACACTTTTTCCATTGAATACAAGGCTGGAATTAATAATGTTGCAGCTGATGCCTTGTCTCGGGTACATGACACTGGCATGTTGAATGCTATGATATCAGAACCTGTATTTGATGTGTTGCAAGAGATTAAAAAGCAGAATGTTGAAGATATTTTTCTGCTGCAATGTCATGCAAGGTTGAAGAACAACTCAAACCTTGATAATCACTTGACTGAGAAGGATGGCATATTATTCCATGACCATAGATTTTTACTCAGTCCATCTTCTTCCTTGATTCCTTTGTTAATCCAGGAAGCTCACTCTACTCCAATTGGAGGGCATGCAGGGGTGCTCAGGACCTTTTTGAGGCTTTCTGCCACATTTTATTGGAACTCGATGAGACAAGATGTGAAAGACTTTGTTGGGAAATGCATAATTTGTCAACAGGTTAAATATGAAGCCTCTAAACCAAGTGGATTGCTGCAACCCCTATCCATCCCTGAGGGTATTTTCGAAGACTTGTCCATGGATTTTATTGTGGGACTTCCACCATCGAAGGGACACACGACCATTGTGGTAATTGTGGATAGATTATCCAAATTTGCCTACTTTGGTTCTCTTCCTCGTTCTTTCACAGCTGCTGTGGTGGCCAAGCTGTTTTGTGAACTCATAGTATATGTTCATGGTTTTCCCCGTTCCATAGTGACCGATAGAGATCCTATTTTTGTTAGTCAATTTTGGTCTCAATTGTTTAAGTTGAGCGGGACGAAATTGCATACTAGCTCAGCATACCACCCCCAATCAGACGGTCAAACTGAGGTGACCAACCGCTACTTGGAGCAATACTTGCGGTCATTCTGTCATGAGAAAACGCAGGATTGGATTGGATTGTTAGGGTGGGCTCAATTCCATTACAACACCAGCATACATTCTAGTATTGGTATGAGTCCATTTGAGGCTGTTTTTGGCAAAAAGCCAATACATATACCTCCCCTGCCACGGGGATTAACTAAGGTCGAAGCAGTGGAATTCTTGTTGGGTCAGCGTGATGAAATTTTGTCTCGATTGAAGGTTCAGTTGCAGCAAGCTAGGAATCGGATGAAGATAAAATGTGATAGGCATAGGAAGGACCGTTCTTTTGAAGTAGGGGAATTGGTATGGGTTAAGCTCCAACCTTATAGACAGGTTTCTGTAGCAAAACGTGCGAGCCACAAGTTGGCTAAACGCTACTTTGGTCCTTATCCTGTGGAGAAGAAGTTGGGCAGTGTTGCTTACCAACTGCAGTTGCCTCCCAATTGTCTCATCCATCCCACCTTCCATGTTTCGTTTCTCAAGCCATTCAGAGGTACCTTGGATGCTCAACCTCTGCCTTTACCTGCAATTGCTGTTGCCAACAAACCTGTCCAAAATCCTTTGGCTGTTTGGTCAGTTCGGATGTCTTCAAAGGGAGGAATTCCCCAACGCCAGTTCTTGGTTCAATGGACACCAGCTTTACCCGAAGATTCAACTTGGGAGTTTGAAGATGATTTGCGCAAGTGTTATCCAGAATTGACCCTTGAGGACAAGGTTGTTCTTGAAGAGGAGGGTATTGATACACGTAGGGCGTCTAAGAGAGTGAGGCAACTCTCTGTAATACTCAAAGACTTTGTTGCTTGAGGAATAAAGTTAGTTGGTTAACCAGTTGAGTTAGTTAATTAGTTTGGTTGGTTAACGGTTAGTGAGTTAGTTAATACTGTTGTATAAATACTTACATGAGGTACTGAGATCATTACTTGAAAATAATACAAATTCTCGATTTCTTTTAGTTCTTATTCTTTGGTTCTTGTCCTCTGTTAGGTTAATCCTAACACATAACCTATTTTCTCAAAGAGTTTTTTTTTAATACATGAACTTGTTCTAATTTACTACATATATTAGGTCAAATTGGGGTTAATATAAATTCGATCGTAAGTCCCTAATAAATTATTTAACTCATTTACGTCTACATCTTTAATTATTGAGGTTGAGTCAAGTAATAGTTTCATTTTATTTTTATTTTTTGCAAATAACATAAGTTATAGTGGATATATAATTTTATTTGGAACGTAAAAGAAACTTTAGAAAAATTACAAATCACAATATCAAAAAAAGAAGTAAACGTTTAACTTTCATGATAGAATAGTTGGTGCACAGATATTTGCCTCCAGTCTTAAGCGACACCCAACCCCACTTTTTACGTTAAGGAGACACTTGAAAACAGTAAAGAAAAGCCCAACACTGCAAGTTCACTAGAAATATCTGCACACCATTTCGAATCTTGGATAAATCCCCAGGCGTTAGGTTGAAGTTGGGATAGTGCAACCCTCAAATGGTACAACACGTCGGTTAGAAATTCAAAAAACGAAAATCGAACTTTGATGTCGGTAAAGTAACTCTTGTACATTAAGAAACATCGTGAAGATATGCCCCTCTCACTTGGGCGGTCACAAACTCTGATAGATCCAGTAACATTGCATAACCGCCACTGATCCTCTTGTACCCCTTCAGTAAAATCAAAAATCCCCTCAATAAGGTACGCCTCATCCAGAATTGATCGGTCTGCATAATACGACACTGTTGAAGAAACTTTGTAACACTCCGTTTCGGATCGATGTATTACCATACATATGATATTAAACGTAGTTATAATTATGGTATTTGAATTAAAATACGGTAGAACTTTTTGCTTTTAAAACAACCATATTTAAAACAATTCCTATATAATGATCATAATTAAAAATAATTGTGGAACATAAATTTCTATAGCTTAAATATCATACAATACATATTTAAAGTGTTAAGTGGTTCTCATAAACCAACAAAGTTTAAAACACAAATTACACGTTTTACCTAACCAAGGTAGGTTCAGTCTTTCACAAAAATGCACTTATCTACATGTCCATAAATTTTAATATTTTATTATGTTAAACTAGACTCTCTAAGCTTTCCAACAAGATATCATAAGCCTTATTTGGATTTATACAACTCCAGATATGATCATCATAAGTTAATTGTTCAAAACTGTCATTTGACAGCAAATAACCACTATGAGTTTCCTCACTGTTTTTAAAACTGTAGAAGTTCTACTAATATTAGTTTACAAAGATGACAGACCCTTGGTGTCTTACAGCCTGCGAAACTGGGCAATCTGCACTTAAATGAAAAGTGCACATGACTCGCAAATCATTGCAGTCCCATATTTTAGGAAAATAAAGAAGACATCCTAAACTTCAAAATGATAGCTCACACACTTCATTTGACTAAAAATTGAGTGAGCTATGACTCATCAAAGTCATAGGTAATTCAGCTACGTTTTCTATAAATTTTGACAGTATCTTCGTTGTTTATTGGACAATTCTAGGGATCAATTCCCACATAACAATTAACACCTGATAGACACAATACTCATTCCATTCAAACTACCACAAGATGGCTCCGTGCCATTTCATTAACCTAGTACTTAAATATGTATATACAGATACATATCTCTGTCACACTTCTACAAATATTCACATAGGCAACATAGGCCTTTCAAAAAGAATATTTACATATATGCACTTGTCTGATCATTACAAAACATGAATACAAAAAGTCATCAAAACATATAGACAGATATTCTATGCAACATGTAACTATTTCTCTATCCTCTACATGCATAGCCCTAATCTCCTCGTGTTGGCCTCTTCCCAAGGGACCTATCTCCAACATCAAAAGTACCTGAAATATGTCCCCATATTGCGGGGTGAGAATAAATCTCAATAAGCTCGGGGTTTATGGAGAAGTTTCCAACCGCAAGTTCACTTCCTGCGTAACATGTCAGATACGGAACGTAGACAACACCATATAGTCTCTTTAATAGTACAGATAAATATTTTACACCATCAAACAGTTGTATTCACATACAAAATATTTTACTTTCTTTATCTGATAATTTGGAGTCTCTTTTATTATTTACTCAATCATTTCATATTACTTTAGAAACTCCTATCAAAATTATCAACAATACACAATTCTCATAAACCAAAATGATTAGAAATTTACACTAATCAAATAATTCAGTAATTCACTTTAATCAGGAAAACTAGAAATCATAACCATCAAAACACATCAAAATATTATAAATTTATGTTTTATAGAGTAATCTGAACCAACCGAAGATCGAATGCGTTCATGATAATATTTAATATCAATGATTCCACCAGAGCTATACTTTATAGAGATACACTCAACTTGTATAACCAATTTATTATTCGACTTGTACTCACACCGCTAAATTAGGAATTGAAATATTTTAATTATGAGTTAGGAAATAATTCTATAATTATAGAAAGATTATAAACTTTAATATTAAGTCACTTTTCAAAAGGAAAGTGCAAACACCGGGTATTTCACGGTATAAATGAATATCAGTGAAGTAACTTGAAAAATAATGA